GGGGGGGGGGGTCAAAATGGAGATGAAAACAGATAACGAAATAGGACTAGAAGAAAGGACTTTAAAGGAGAAAATACTAGAGAAGAAATTTTTTTGTCGCTGTCAGATTTCGATCCCGGGATCCTTTAAATGAGAGGCGAACGCCATGCATACCTCTAGACTCTAGACCAATAGCGTACTTTTTAAAATCTTTTAGTGGGGGGCCTTTAGTCTCACTTGTCAGGATCAACTCGGGCTGAGAGTGATACAATATCCTAGCACAAAGACTTGATAGCACTTCTCCCCACTTAGATCTTCTGCGCAGCCCGAGCAAAATTGAAAATTTCCTACCAGCTGAAAATGTTTTATGTGTCCCACGTGCTCAAATGACCGTATGCATTTGCGAGCGCCGTAAAACACTTACATAAAACAAAAACAAAACAATACTACCCCTCGGACCGCTGGTGTGCGAAGATGAAAAAATCTAACAGCACACCATACACGCCGATAAAATTGGTGTAAAATTCTACAGCGTGATGTCATGCCAACGAAGGTCACAACTTTCTGATACGTTTTTATTTCCCAAAATTAATGCCACAGAGAATTTTTAAGGAAGGAAAACAAAATAAAAAACAAAACAAAAACGTCACATGCACTTAAGTTTATGAATGAGTAGATCTATATTACTTAATATGCTTGCCTTTAAGTATCTTCCAAAGTTTTTCTTCTTGCAACTGCTTAGCATCCATTGTCCGTAGGTTGAAGGTCGTAAAAATGACAGGCGTACAGAGTATTTTTGCTGGTTGAGATGTAAAAACGCTTTAAATCAGAGCACAACATTCCTTTAACTTGTGACTGCTTGAGGGAAACACTTTAAATCAGAACACAACATTCTTTTAACTTGTGACTGCTTGAGGGAAACACTTTAAATCAGAACACAACATTCTTTTAACTCGTGACTGTTTGAGGGAAACATTTTCCCTCTTTTCCTTCTGTCAGACATAATAAATCATAATTTAACACTTTCGTATGAAGTCATGCCTCAGAAACTACAACTTTCCTAGTAAAATGGACCGTCATGGTGAAGAGCACCGGGGTCTGTGGGGACAGGGTTAGGTTCTGTCCCGAAAATCTTGAATTCAATTCAAAGCAGAGAATTTATATATAGAGAGAGAGTCCTAAAACATAAAAGAAAAATGTTTCACTTGAGGCGTGTCTACTCTTTAAATATTAATTTACTCACGTCAGGAGAGCTTCAAAAAAAGAAAGAAAAAAAAAGGAAAAAAGGAGTAGTGTCAAACTGGAAAATCTTGCGTGGTGCAAGCTTGGGTACAACTTCAGAACAGTGGGAGGAAAGAAAAGGCACATATTAGCTTGCAGGCAAAGATATATGCCTATTTGTTTAAGAGCAAGGTTACTTGATCGATGACTGGATCATGGAATCGTACTATTTTGATTCGGGTTGGGTTTTTTTTTTGGGGGGGGGGGTTGTGTTTTGCTGTTGTCGTTGTTGTTTTAAGTCTGTCTGTCTATTTGATTTTGGTGGTTGCATCCCTAGCCTTTATATTTAATACATGGTGGTAGTTGGGTTGGACTACTCAAATAAAACACATCAGGCAATAAAATAAAGACGAATGTGTTTTCGCCCTGATCAACGTAAATCTAAATCATTTAGAAGGCTCACTTCAGGTTTTGCATTCAATGAATCAACAAATCATCAAACTAACACAAATAGAAACACAATACTATCTGATCACAACATACTCCCCCCCCCCCTTTTTTTTTTTCTTTTAAGTTTGAGGGTCATGACTTTTGTGATCAGGGTGGTTAGAGCTTGCCCTTGGCAGATCCATTTTCTTTTCTGCAAGTCCATTGTTTCTGTCTATTTATGTTGGGTTTTTGTTTGGGTTTTGTTTTGTTTTTGTTTTGTTTTGTTTTTTAGCCGTTTTTTTAATTTTATGCTATCGAGGTGTCTGCGTGTTTCTCTTTCCTCAAACTGAACGAAAAGTAGACTATAGAGTGTTGCTCAGGGGCTCACTAAAGCAACCCTGCCCTCCTCTCCTCATTTACAACCTGCTGTCCCTTGAAACTGTGAAATGTGTGAGCAGAGTTCACTCACTATTCCACCACTGGAGCCCAAGTGATTGCCTTTGAAAATGGTATTTAACTCGTGGTTAACCCTATCCGTACGCCCTGGGGTCACTTTGTACCCCCTGGGCTGTGTTCTTCACATTTTAGAATACATGTACATCTAGAGCGAAGATCTCTTTGAAACTTTCAGTATTTCTCCAAAAAAATCATTTTGACAGACTGCTATGCAAACCGTACGGATCGGATTAACGAGTAAATTTTTGGAAAGTATTGGCGCAGACTACAGAGTTCCCCACGTCGTACAAATACGAAAGTAAAACACGAGGTACGGATAGGGTTTAATAAAAAATGAGGTAACTCTCAAGGTTTGAGTTGTTGTCGACAAAAGTGGCAACTTTAGTTTTGAGGGCTTCATCAAGAAACAATTGGCTGGATTTGAGTGCTTAGTTGTTTTGTTTTGGCTTGGTTGTTTGTTGATGGTTGTTTTGTTGAGTTTGGTTACTGTTATTGTTTTGTTGGGGTTTTTTTTGGGGGGGTGGGGTCAGTTTTCTTTTGGGATCTTTTTTTGGTTTTTTTATTTTTTGGGGGGGGGGGAGGGGTGGCGATCCTATAACATGGCCTTATTATTTCGTCGTCGAACGATTACACAGTTATCGACACCGAGTATTGGCGTACATTTTTATTGTCCAGATCCTGGCATATTGTTTTGGTGTTTCACCACGTACACACACACACACACACACACACACACACACACACACACACACACACACACATACACACACACACTAACACACACTCGCACACACGCACATCCACATACACATGCACATGTGCATACCCATATACTCACACACTCTTCCCTCACACATCCTCTCTTCCACTCACACTTGTGCACATAACCAGAATAATACATTATTAGTACGTTGGGGTTCGGTTGGGTTTTTTTCTTCTTTTTTTTCTTTTTATTGGTAAGTGTTTAACGACACTCGCAACTGCATAATAATAATAATAATAATAATAATAATAATAATAATAATAATAATAATAATGATAATAATAATAATAATAATAATAATAATATTAATAATAATAAATAGCATTTATACTGCGCATTTCCATTTCCTAAAAGATGATCGATGCGCATTACAATGAAAAAGACATCACATCTTAAAAATTAATCGACACAAATGTGTACGTAAAACAAAGTATTATACATATAATATAAATGCATATGTGTAAAATTTTATACCAGAAAAACAGTCTCGCAGTGAGGTTGAAAATGTGTTCACTAAAAATATACAATGCAATAAAAATTCACGAACAGTCAAAATAAAGTTGAAACGTGAGTAACTAGAAACATTCATTAAAACATTAATTCTATACAGATATACTATACAGATAGAAAAACATTTCCGTTCTCTCTCTCTCTCTCTCTCTCTCTCTCTCTCTCTCTCTCTCTCTCTCTCTCTCTCTCTCTCTCTCTCTCTCTCTCTCTCTCTCTCTCTCTCCCTCTCTCTCTCTCCCTCTCCCTCTATCTCTCTCTCTCTTTCTCTCTCCCTCTCTCGCTATCTCTCTCTCTTTTCTCTCTCTTTTCTCTCTCTATCTCTCTCTTTTTCTCTCTCTCATTCTCACTCGCTATTTCTTCAGTCTCACAGTCTGGCATACACATGCATATATATCACAGTACATCATTGTGACAGGTATGCTTTTGTGAATAAAAAATGCTTCAGCTGATTTTTGAAAATGGAAATTGTTGGGGCAGATCTTATTTTATATGGGAGTTCGTTCCATACCTGGGGACCAAAGAACAAAAAGGAACGCTCGTCGTATGTTTTGTAATTTTGTTTTGGAGTTTTAAGAATTAGATTGTCAGAGGCTGATCTAAGGGCTCTAGGTGGATTATATAATTCCAGGAATGTTTTAAGATAAAAAGGTGCACTATCATTTATACATTTAAAACAGAGAACGGCATAAGGTCACATGAGCGCACAGGACACGCCAAACATTTTTCAGTTGGTAGGAAATTTTGAATTTTGCCTGAGTGGCGGCTGAAGCCTACTCTTATCGATTTTGGACAACCAAGGGATCTTTAACGTATGCAACTTGCTCCCGGGACCTCCGAGATTTTTCGCCATTGTCCGAGAAGGTTAGGTGTTAGATCTTTCCTTCTACCATAAGATCAGGGGTGTGGCTGAAAGACAGCAGTAAGAAGGAACCAATGAGTGGCAGCAGAAAGGCTACAGTAAGAGGTGGGTGCAAAGGGGAAGGGTGGGGGAGGGGGAAATGGGTAGAAAGTGGAGATAAAAGCAAATAACAAAACATGATAAGAAAGCAGAAAAGGAGGTGAAAGGAGAAAAAGTAAGAGAAGGAAATTTTCCGTTATTGTCAGGGTTCGAACCCGGGACGTATTGAATGAGAGGCGAACACCACAACCTGTAGACCACGAGAGCCCCCCCCCAAAAAAAATTATGCGTTTTTTTCTGTAGAAGGCTAAAAATGTCAAGGTCTCAAAGTAAATGGAGAAAGTATTAATAACATCAGGTATGCAGAGGGCAGAGTTTTAATAGCAGGCTCAGAAAAGGGTCTTCAATTGCTTCTAGATACTGTTGTAACAGAAAGTGAACGTAAAGGATTAGTGTTGCATGTAAAGAAAACGGAATGCATGGCAACATAAAAAAGCAGCAAATCCTAGTTGTAATCTCAATAGCAAAGGTGAAAAGATCAAACAAGTCCAATAGTTTAAATATCTAGATATGATAACATCTGATGCCAAATGTTCCACAGAAATAAAACGGAGAATTACAATGGCTAAGGCTAGTTTCAATAAAATGAGCCCAATCCTGAAAAATAGAAACATCTCAATGAAAAACCAAATGAAAGTTCTGAAAAGCTATGTTTGGTCATCCCTTCTATATGGCTGTGAATGCTGGACAATCATTAAAGACAGTGAAAATAAAAATAGAAGCAACAGAATTGTGGTTTCTGAGGAGACTGCTAAGAGAATCGTGGAAGGAAAAGAAATCAAATGAAGTAGTGCTTGATGAAGCCCACGTGGGACGCTCAATGTTAAAACAATCAGGAAACGACAAATGCAGTTTTGGGGACACCTGAACAGACATAAGGGTCTTGAACATCAAGCTCTCACTGGCAAAATTGAGGGCAAACGAAGCAGGGGTAGGCCCAGATAAACATACTTAGGGAACCTAAACAAATGGGTAACAGCGAAAGATCAGGGAAGCCTAACTTTTTTTTAGATCCTCCGAGCAAAGGAATGAATGGAGAACTATGATCGCCAATGTCTGTCACAGATCTGGCACTGGATGATGCTGAAGCTAAGTGTTGTACGGCGCTCGCAACTGCATAATGTCATATGAGCGCGCGGGACACAACATTTTCAATTGGTAGGAAATTTTTAATTTTGCCAGGGTGGCGGCCGAAGGTTACTCTTATCGATTTTAGACCAACAAGGGATTTTTAACGTACGCAACTTGCTCACGAGACCTCCGAGATTTTTTAACCCTTGTCCGAGAAGGCTAGGTGTAGACCTTTCTTACCAGAAGAACAGGTGTGTGGCTGAAAGAACAGCAAGAAGGAGCCAAGGAGTAGCTGTAGAAAGGCTGCAGAAAGCGTCAGCAGCCCAGGGGAGGGGGCAAAGGAGGTAGGGCAGATGGTGGAGACGAAAGCAGGTGACAGAACATTGCTAGAGAACAGAAAAGGAGGTGAAAGGAGACGTTTTAGAGAATAATTTTTTTTCTGTCGCTACCCGGATTCGAACCGGGATCTTTGAATGAGAGGCGAACACCTTGACCTCTAGGCCTGGAGAGTCCCCATTATACGTTCAAAATGGGTTGTCGGTGTTTATTTTATAAAATTCTCATACCTTCCAATGCTTCTGCGGACCTTCTATGGGTGGAACTGTATTTTTGTGTCTTTTGTTTGTTTGTTTGCCGGTTGTTG